TGACTGAATTCGAATTACAACATTTGTCACAACAACCGTACAGCAAAACATAAACAAACATTTTTTTGTATTTCTAATGTTTATAATTTTGTAGTTGGGCAAGCTCCCGTAAGCGACCTGATTTAACCCTCACATCTCTATTGACCACCGGCTTATGAGAACCTTCTTTTAAGCGGCCAGCTTCAGTAATGAACACGCGTGCTGAGGTTGTCCGCTTACGACAGCTTCAATCCCACCACCACCTTGCACTTCCACTGTAGTCTATTAGTTATTGTAGGTAGCTGACGCACGTAGCTCTGAGAAAGAAGGACGACCGCTTGCGGTCAGGTATTCTTTTATTTATTTATTTTACTTTGACGTAGAACAAACTCCGCTGAATCGAAGTCAGCAGTTAGTTCTACTACACCTTACAACCGGCCTCTACGGACTCCATTTTCATTTTCGTCTGCGGACTCTGTCTTCATTACGTCATACATATCTTTTTAGTTAATAACATAATTAGTTTCGGAAACTGGTTGCAGTAATTTACTAACAATTGTTTTGCATCACTGACTAATAACAAACACATTACGTCATTTATATCTTTTTAGTTAATAACATATTTAATTAGTTTGAGAAACTGGTCAGCAATTTACCAACCGAACAATTTTGTATCACTGACTAACATACGTCTTGGGAGTGAACTTACAACAAACGCAGAGGAATTTTAACTAAAAGCATTCGTAATCACGGCCTAAACTACCTAAACTACTGTCAGTGTGTGTTCCACTTATAACATGCATTGGCGTAGCCTACGAAAACATCCGACGTTATCTGACTATTACTCCGTACGGTCCGTGGCGCAGGCAAAAGACTACTACGCACATATATTAACTTACTCTATTCACAGTATTCTTTTCGTTAGTCGATCACTAATTGAGATTTGCCATTTGGCCTCTATATTGTTAGTAACGGTTTCATGGGCAAGGTAAATTCACTCTAACCAACGGAGTAAAGAGATGTCTGAGTGATTTTAGTTGAAACCGTGAAATAGGTTGTAGACTACTACACACTATTATGCACCAATTCCATTGTCTTCTTTTGTTTAATTGCAGCTATTTGGCATTAGTTTTTAGTATATCTGTTTCACGAGTTGAGTAAAATCACTCTATTGCTGAACCTAATTTTCTGAAATATTTACAGCCAAAACGTAAGCCTGCCTTGCGGACAATAATGGATAATTATGGATAATTTTGGCTTGCTCGTCATCTCTCAAATATGGGCGTGCATATTAAGGGAGTTAAATCATTACATCACAAATTGCAAAAGATAAAGAGCTTTAAAAATGCACCATAGGCACGATAAATGGCGAGATTTTGCTGAATTCGATTCTTGCTTCTTGTCAGAAGAGGTGCATCAGGCCTTCTGCCAAGAATCACAAAATTTTCGATCACCTATTTTCACGACTGGCACCAACAAGTTGCACCATACAATAGAGGTTAGTTGTTATTCGGTCTTCCATTGTAACAATTGTAGCCAATTTATTTCAAATGTCTCAGTGTGTTTTCTTTGTAAAGCGGCCTTTTCCTTTAGTAGGAACTCTGCCTTGAATTTCTACTCAAGTGCGCCATGCTTTTATCATGCGGAATTGCCTTAGCTTCGGTGGATCGAAATACAGTGATAGCTTTTAGTACCAAACTTAACTGAAAACATAACATAAGGATGCAAGAGTGGTGTATTTTGCATTAGAGCCACTAACAAAAATCATTTATCAATAGTTCCAGACTGTAATGAATAAGTACTACACTATATAGCCCAAAGTAATAGCCGACCAGTTTTCCACAGTTACCCTAATCCGAGGTTCTAAAACATAAATGATAATTTGCACAAATTTAGGCTATTTATATTCTCTGAAGAAAACAATTTTTAGTTAATAAGAGAATGTTAATGCTAGCTATTTAAGTCAGCCTGTTCCTTAAACAATATATCTACATGCCAAAAATAAGTAGTTAAGTAAAAAAGGCTATACAAAGAAGAATTAAGGATGATCACATGTTGACTTATTTGCCCATATGCGCTGGGTTAGATTTTAGAAACTGATGAGAGCCTGTTGAAACTTCCAGGCTTAACAGGTTCTTGAAAAGAGGGGTCAAACTGGAAAATTTAGCCTTTCAACTGCTGGTTGGCACTTGTGTTCAACGTTGCTGATACGAGGGTGGTCACATTAAAGCAAGGATACGATAAAAAATACTATAACTTAATGATAAAAATACAAAAATAGTAAAACACAATTACATCCAGTAAATTTATTCCTCAGTTCTATTATCTTTTATCTTTCTTTAGCCTCATTATGCCCGGATACAATTTTTCTCCAACGGACCGATCGGTAATCTAATGTAATGTAATGTTAGCTATTTTTAGTTGAATAAAAATATATTAGAGAAGCAGTGCAGCGTGTTTAAGTAACCGAATCGACTTAGTAATAGCACAGAGTTAGGCGGAGGAGAAGTATTTTTGCCCAGAGCATTTGACTTTACCATTACTTGGAATTTTGCAGTCTTGCATTAAAAGAGTGAGTTGCAAGTGGGGTTTTCACTGTTTTCTGCGGGCTGTTTAACAGACCGGTCAATAAATCCTTCCACAGGGTTTTTCTTATGTTCCATTTATTTTATTTCATTTCCCCCCTTTTTCAGGACCTAAGTTAGAAAAATTCAAGAGAGGGTCTTCTTTTGCAAAAACGCGATTGACTAGACAAGAAGTCTTAGAATTATTAAATTTATCGAGTTTGAGAATACATTATACTTATTTCCATCTGACTAGAAAAACGTAAAGAAAAAGTAACTTAAACGTGTACACAGCAAGATTCATTCTCAATTTCATGTTCTATATTTTTACTTTACAACAAGACATTGACAGCAGTGGGTTTTTTAAACTTATGCATAAAAAGGAGCAGTGTCACGAAATTTATCAAACAGACACCGGGAACTGCCACCAAAGTGACTGATACTTGAAAATAACTGCAAAAAAATTAAAATAAAGAATAAATATAAGAGTAAATACAAAAGGAGACAAGGATAGACAAACCTGGAAAGGAGAAGTGTGACTTCACGTTACCCATGGTAGCACTATTTCTGGATGACAACAAAACCAATGACCACGGCGACGGCTAGGAGAATGGCAAAAAAGTATATGTTTATATTAAACAACTACTTTGCACGTGCTATTTTGTACCTTTCAGTTTGCCATCGTCGCACTACTGCGACATGAAACTTCCTAATTTCTAGAGCTTGCTTTATGGAGTAGGTGAACACAACACAAAAATTGTCGCTTTCTTTTTCTAAACTGAGATAACGATAGCTACGGTCCCAAAGAAAAGTTCATCAAGATTTGCCAAATTAAAGGAAATTGAATAAGATCGGTGAAGTTTGAAATAGTGCGAATAGACTTTTAAGTGACTTTATCGGTTTGTTGTCATCCAAACATTTTGCTACCTTAGCAACGTGACGTAACGACTTCTCCTCTCTAAGACGCTGAATTGCATCAACCAAAGTAAACACAGTCCCTTTAATTCCTGTGGTGACGTAGGTCAGGCTGGTTGCGTGCGTAAATTGGTACTAGGGAGTTGAGAACACATATTTATAGTTATAGCGATAAAATGTACGAAAAAATGTGTTCTCAGCATTTTATCACGTCTTGTCCAAAATGTCTAAGTGTAGACAATGGAAAATTTTCAGTCGACTTGCATGTCCACTCTTGACGTAAACGCAAAACGCGCAAAGTTATAGCGTCGATGCGGCTTTCTAAAAATGTAGCGGAACAAACGACATACCGAGATTTGCTGTCAAAGATTTTTTTGCATATGTGACGTCAAGAATTAAAATTCCAAAATTAGAATGTTTCCTTCTTTTAAATTTTTAGTTTCAGGATATGTTACACCATCTTCACATTATCATTTTACAAATTTCGCTTGCTAAAGCTTAAAAGCAATTTTGTGGTGCTCGACGTGAGATCACACTGGTGAACGGCAGAGCTTTTTAAGCTCTTCAGTTTTCTTTGATTTGATATCCGCCGTGGTTCTCCTAGACTAAGTAATCTTGTGCCATACAGTTAATTATAAGGCAGGTAAGTAAACGTCAGCAAAGAATGAGTTTAAGAACCATCTAATGGCGGGAACATGCCTCCACGAAAATATAGAAGTAATACAGGAATCTGATGTTTGTCTAATATAATTGTCTTTTCGTTAAAACTTGAGTATTTGTTCATTACAGAGGTTAAGATAAAAGTGACCCTATGTTATGTCCTAGCTTTGTAATCGGCAAATACTTGATCTACCGGCTCGACACAGTTTAATGAGGCCCTGCCAGGGAGGGGGTGTGTGTGTGTGTGGGGGGGGGTCCATGTCGCTCGTCTCAATTTTAAAACGTCTCGTGTCGGTGCTTATAATTGCTTCACGTCACTGACGGAAATTGAACGAAAATTCTTTGTCTTTATCGGAATTTTAGACAAGGGGGATAGCGATGCGTTGTAAAGAAACCATTACAGTTCTGCAATTTCTCAGTTAACATTTCGCGTATCGAACACCTTACTTCTTCTTGGCATTCAGACTGGTGATAAATTAGCCAAACCACCGTTCTTTGTCGCTTATTCTCGGCTTTGCCGTCACTGTCGCAATTTGGCCGAGTTTTCTCAGTTAACATTTCGCGTATCGAACACCTTACTTCTTCTTGGCATTCAGACTGGTGATAAATTAGCCAAACCACCGTTCTTTGTCGCTTATTCTCGGCTTTGCCGTCACTGTCGCAATTTGGCCGAGGGAGGTTCTCTCTTGTCGTGATTTCATTTTAGGCTCTGTCGCTACTTTCTGGGTCATGTCGCTTGTCGGAATTTACCCTGGTAGGGCCTCTTTAATATAAAATCGATTAACTTGGACCACTATTTGCTTGTTGTTCAATTTGTTTTTCCAGTAACTATACAGCAAGTAATTTTATTTGTTTGTACTTGGATCTACCTTTAGGCCTACAATGCCTGGATACGAGTTATCTTCGGCGGACCGATCAGTAATCGACAAAAAGAATTTGTGTCCTAAATGTGAGGGTCTTCTTAGAGAAGCTGTGCAAACAATAGCTTGTGGTCATAGATATTGCAAAACATGTGTGGAAACTATTCTTTGGTAAGTACTTCGTGTCACCTCGTCATTCTCCTAGCCAGCTGAAATATGCTACCTCTAAAGTTAGTGGTTAACTGTAGATAAATGACTGATATAATGAGAATAACTATACAAATCATGCTGTCGATAGCTTCGTGGCTAATGTGGTGCAGATAAATGGGAACTGTATATCAAGCCCCAGGTTGTTCAAAAGGTGGATAATTAATAATTAGTCGCCGAAGGCGACTTGAATATCGGCGAATAGTCACCGAGACGAAGTCGAGGTGACTATTCGCCGATATTCATGTCGCCTTCGGCGACTAATTGTTTTAGTATAATTACTTTGATGATTATTCGAGAAAATAAAATTATTGATCAATTTCCGACTCCGAAACATCAACAAATCTGGCTGCTATTTTGAAAACTGCTAGCCTTCAATGTTATAATCACTGCGCAGTGATTATAGCGGGATGAAGCGAAGCTCCTAGCCAATCATAGCGCTCTATTTTCGATAATCATCAATGTAATTATACTAATGCTGGATAAATCACTCTCCAGTGAAGAAAGCAGTTAGTTATAAGTTTCCTTGATACGTATCCAGTGGACAGTGATCTATCCGGTGGATAGCGCTATCCAACTGATCAACTGGGGGCGGGTGAAAACAGATTAACTACATACAGTTAACTGGCAAACAAAAATCAGATAAATGCCCGATAATTAGGTTTTCTTCGTATTACTGGTTGATACACACTGACCTCTTTCCATAATAAATTTACAGGCAAGAAGTTGGAAAGTGCATCATCGATGGATCAGATATTCATAGAGAACAGGTTTGCCTTCTTTTCGATAATCAGATTTGTCGTTAGTGAAATCTTCTGAATACATACTAGGCCGGTCTGAAACATGACACAGCTCCGTTTTAGTCTGATTACCTATAACCGCGCGCCACCCAGTTATGATGCTGCATCCTCATTCACCCTGCCCCACCTCATTTTGATCCTTTAACTTTTCTTTAGCTTAGTTGGAAGAGCGCTTGAATTCTGAGCGGCAGGTCTGGGGCTCAAACCCCAGCAGGACCGAAAACCACCGGCTTTAAATCAGTAATTAGGTGATCACGTCATTGGACGGCGTTCTTCCTTCAACTTAATACGAAGGGGGCGCAAAACCACACTCTCGTACGAAAAGTGTAGGAGAAATCTGTCCGTTGGTGTGGTCCACCTCTACCTCTTCCATCACATCACTAGCCACATTTATCATACAGAAAGCTTATAAATGGACCGATAAGGGACGTCGGTGGTGCCATTCTACGGTGAACCACGTGACCAAGATTTTGTCATTTACTGTTCACCGTATCTACCCATAAAAAGTAGTTTCATGTCACTTTGAAATTCATCCACAAAAAGTATTTTGGACAATTTTTATCTTCTCATTTTCTAATTTGAGAAATTCTGAGGTTTGAGGTTTGTCGTAAACGTGATTCTAATCCCTGTAGCTGTAATAAATCACCAATGCGGACACATTATGTTGTCTTATCCGCCACCTTCGACGTTATTTGTCATCCTTTTCGTTTACTCTGCATGGGTCAATTAGTAAGTATTATTTTCCTGCAGCAATACTTTGTTTCGTATCACTCTGCAGGTATTTTTGGACCGCTTTGTCGAGCGTGAGATTCAGTCACTGTTGGTCCATTGCATTCATCAAGAAGAAGGATGTGATTGGAAAGACGAGCTTAGAAAACGNGACCGATAAGGGACGTCGGTGGTGCCATTCTACGGTGAACCACGTGACCAAGATTTTGTCATTTACTGTTCACCGTATCTACCCATAAAAAGTAGTTTCATGTCACTTTGAAATTCATCCACAAAAAGTATTTTGGACAATTTTTATCTTCTCATTTTCTAATTTGAGAAATTCTGAGGTTTGAGGTTTGTCGTAAACGTGATTCTAATCCCTGTAGCTGTAATAAATCACCAATGCGGACACATTATGTTGTCTTATCCGCCACCTTCGACGTTATTTGTCATCCTTTTCGTTTACTCTGCATGGGTCAATTAGTAAGTATTATTTTCCTGCAGCAATACTTTGTTTCGTATCACTCTGCAGGTATTTTTGGACCGCTTTGTCGAGCGTGAGATTCAGTCACTGTTGGTCCATTGCATTCATCAAGAAGAAGGATGTGATTGGAAAGACGAGCTTAGAAAACGAGAGGTAACAACTAAGCTTCTATATGATGTTCAAATGAGTCATAATGTATACCCACTTCCAGCCCTACTGACAAGGGTAGTCCCAGTCGGGTTAATCTGTAGCCGTGAAACACCGAAAAGTGGTCACTCGTGACGCAAAAAATATATTAAAACATTTTTACCGTACACCTTGTCATGAAAGTGCAAAGGGCGCTTTATTAGATTGTTTGTCTTGTTTTGGGTTTATTGATTCTATTATGGTGCTAAACAGACCACCCATCTCAACCATAGGCTTTACTGTTCAGATAGACCCTCTGTGATGCCCATGCTTGTATCAGCTGGATCATCTACGAAATACGTAGAGATGTAGGCATAATAGACGAGATAAAGTGGTTTTCAATTAGGTCAAAGTAGTATAGGGCGCAAGATTTACCTACGTGTTTTATCCGCGCGTAAACTTAAGAACGTTATTGGAGTAAAGCAATCTTCAATTTACTCAAAGAAGTATAGGGCGAATTATTTAATCCTTGTTTTGGACCAGAAATCTTATCAACGTGTGTCAGAATATTATCGGAATAAAGCGATTTTCAATTTGGCTTAAGTGCATTTAGTATAGTCCTTTTTCAACACGCCAATGAAGTCTCAGCCAATTCAAAACAAAATTACGTACTTTAATCGCGCGCGTCTTTCTTTTCTCGGTATTGGCAACTAAACAACATTTTCTCTGAGTTCTAGCTTATATATTTTTTTGTTTTTACAATGATCCTAGCTGGAAAGTTGCTGATTCTACAATACAATTTCTCGCGTATTGTTTTAAATTATCGTTATCATTATCTCGTCCATTATTGTCATAATTGTCAATTACGTGTTCTCCTGTGTTAGGATCACGAGGCTGTGTGTGAGTACGTTCAAGTTCCATGCGTGCATTCAGGATGCGGTGAACTGGTGGCTAGATCAAACCTGGTGGAGCATCTTGAGAAATCGTGTCAATTCAGAATGGAAAAATGTGACCACTGCCAAACTCTTATTGAGTTTGCATTTTTGGAGGTAAGAATAACTTTACTGAAATTGTCTGTTTACCTTTAAGTTAATTGTCCTCATTTGGAACAGGATCCTGAAGTAATTTTTATTTAACGTACTTTTACACCTTCCTTTCCAACAATAAATTTCTGACGCTCATTGACTCTTTAAAAATTTCTTCATGCCTGTAACCTCCTACGGTCTCAAATCGTCACAAATCGGTGCTAGTAAAAGGTCTCATTAACATGAGATCTTTTAACCTAAATTAATGGAGGTCTCCATTTAAAACCATAGTAGCCTATAGAGTATGTTCAGAGCGATCTCTAGCTTAATGACCAATACATAATTCATTGTGCACAGGAACACCAAGAATCTCAGTGTCTCTTTGTCCCTGTGACTTGCACAGAATGTGGGAGAAAGGACATACCTCGTTCTCAGGTGAGTTATGCTCTGAGAGGTTTTCTTCTTCCTGGTGTTCTGTTTTTACACACTCCTCGAAATAATGATTCCAGATTCAAATTTGATCTGCAACGCACGCGTAAATGTGTAAACGGGTTTTTAACAGCTAGTTCCTAGACAGTAACACTGGAATAATACGTTTGAGACTTGATGGTGGCTTCTATCTTTCTTACTCAGATGCGTGCCCATATTGATCTGGTAAATGGAGACTGTGAAGAAATGCAATCAAGTTGTCCATGGACGCAAATTGGATGCCCTGAGGATAAGGTATGCAAATACTTGATATTACTTCAGTTTATAGGAGGGGATCGCGCATTAAATGGACCAACGTAGAAAAAAAAAATGACACCTAAGGAGTTGCCACTACTTTGCCTCACCAGAGGGATATCGGACTTACTTGTTTGTGGGTGAGTGTGGTGTGGGGGGGAGGGGAGGGGTATACGTCAGTGGGACATCTGATATGCTTTTTTTGTCTACTACGGTAAACTCCTACTGAAAGGTCCTTACATTGTGCAGGTAAGAGAAGAAAAAAAGTCTCCGGAATGCCCAATACTGAGTCGTGATCAAAGTTACCTATAAACCAATTTTGAATCCACTTGACGTTTGAGTGCATGCTCCAAGTCAGCAATCACTCGGACATTTCTAGAAGGGCTGCGTGTTTAGTAAAGTTTCTAAGCATTAATACACTACGTCGTTTTCGTTTCGTTTAGACTATGAAGCTTCAGGAACGAAAAATGCATGAAGAGGAAAATGCTTCCGGTCACCTGATGCTCCTATTTCAGACCGTAATGCAGCTCTTCTCGATGATTGGAAAGACCATGCGCGAATCTGGACATGTGTCAATGAATGGCGCAAATCTACCAAAACAGAAAGATTTGGAACGCTATGCTAAACAAGTTGAGAATACACTGAAAGAAAATGAAGAACTAAAATCAAAACTGGCACAACAAGAAGAAAGAATACGGCAACTGGAAAGTTCTAGACAGAATAGCTCAAACTCAGCAACAGCATTTGATTCAACGCTCGCCAAAGAGCTTTTACAAAGAATAACTACAGAAGAAGGAAAGACGGCCAATCTCGAACTTTTGCTCGTTGAAGGAAATAGATTAAATGGAGAACTAAAGAGAAAAGTGTCTACCGTAGCCAGGCAACAGGAGTCTTCGAGTGGAACAACCGATCGACTACAGAGACAGTTCGAGTCCATGAGTCACTCACTAGCACTTCGTAATGTTATGCTGACAGATTTGGACGAATATGTGAGGCAGCAGGAAGTCTCCAGTCACGATGGAATCTTGCTTTGGAAAATCACCGAGTTCGCTAAAAAACGCTAAGACGCCGTCTCCGGGCATCAGACGTCATTTTACAGCCCGTGCTTCTTTACCAGTTGCTATGGATACAAGATGTGCGCGCGCATCTACTTGAATGGTGATGGTATTGGAAGAGGGACACACATCTCGGTATTCTTTGTTGTCATGCGTGGTGAGTACGATGCGTTACTCCGCTGGCCATTCAGACAGAAGGTTACTTTCATGCTGCTGGATCAGAATAACGTAGAACACGTGATCGACTCCTTCAGACCTGACCCAAACAGCTCATCCTTCCAGAGACCAAGAAGAGAAACAAACATCGCTAGTGGGTGCCCTACATTCTGTCCTTTGTCGGAATTAAACGATCATGCCTACGTCCGAGACGATACTTTGTTTCTGAAGGTTATAGTCGATACGACGGATTTATAACATCAAGAGAGAATGAGCTAGCTCATTCTCTCTTGGTAACACCGGTTTCAGAAATATTTCCAGGTTTTCAGACTCTTGAGGCAGCGACGCAAGCAGGAGACTGAAGAGAGAAAGGACAGAAAACGCGGGCAACGATCAATCTCGATCTGGCGTGCATTCTTCTATTTAGGACATTGTGTACGGATTTAGTCGGGTAGTCTCACCTGGTTATGTTCAAACACAGACAGTTTTTATATGTGTGTCATCTCATCATTAGGGTTTTTAAAAATTTATTACGTATTTTTTTAGAAAAAAATTGCGAACAAAGAAGAAGGAATTGAAACAGGAAAAAAATAAGAAATGGAAGAAACATGCTGAAGTCAACAATGACATGTTCAGTAATAACCGAATTAATATGAACTATGAGACGGTATACGCAACTTTGGATTTAAAACGATTTGGAGACTTTTTTTGGACAAGTTGAAGGCTTACATCATGAGTGGACAAGCAACTTGAAAGTCATGTTTACAGTGAGCTATGGTAATCGAGTCGTGTATGTTCACCGAGAAAAGAATATTTATATATTTAATCTGTTAGACTATATATAGAAGGCATAATTATTAGAGGGGGTTTTTCTCCGGGGTGCTCCGGTTTCCCCCTGTTAGTTCAAGTCATGTCTTTATGGAATTGCTACCGATAAAAAAGAAAAGGAAAAAGTTTAAATTATTTGATATTCAAACTGGACTTGTCCTAGTAATAAATGAAGGGACTCGATGAAACGAAAAACACAGTGAAACTTCGATGCCAGAGGCACGCAATGGAAACTAAGACCATGCTATTATTATTTATTCAACAATTATTCCTCGAGCCCGAATGAGCTCTGAGTTTCGGCCTCATGGGCTATTGACTCAGAGGCCATGAGGGCGAGAGAAATAATTGCTTTAGTAAAATCCAACCAGTTGGTCAAAAATATCGAGGCAAAACAACTTTAACTAGCAAAACGCGATTCAGCCGCCATTGTTCTGATTTGAAAGCCGGCGCTTTTCGCTACTAGTAGGCTATAACATATGACCTAGTGGTAGCTCAAGCAGTGAGAACGCAGCATTGATAATAGACCAGTAGTTGGATTTGACGAATATAAAATCATCCCGCCTTTGTGATATCCTGTTTAAGCTGTAAACAGATCCAACTCACCAGCCCATGTTACAGTCGTATGGTCTCTAATGATATGGAGATTATGTTTCCTCATAGGTAGTGTTATATGTATGTAAAAATTTTTGAATAACTGATATATGCTATTTTTTGCAAAAAATACTATAGTTAACGGAGGAACACTAAGAAATGAAAAAACATTCTGAAGTTGACAGAGACATGTAATATCCCAACAATGAAATATAGACAGTATAGGCAACACGGAATTTAATCACGATTTAAACGTTTAAGTGAACACACAACTTGTGAAGTCATAGCTGCAATGAATTGTGGTTGTCGAGTCGTGTATGTTCACCTAGATGAGTTAGCATATTTTATTTTATCAATTGAACTTGTAACCCGGGGAGGGGGGGTACTGCCATATGTGGGCTATATAGGTATGTGCCGCAGTGAAGGGTATGGTTTTTAAGCAGTTTACTCTAGGATAGGGTATAAAAATCAGAGAGTTTGGGTCTAGAATAGGGTATCATTTTTCAGGAAACTGATCAGTTGGTTGAAGATTTTGTCTAGACTAAGGATTGTGGTATAAGGTTTTGACATGGCTAGACTGTGCTAGTGACCTCAGGAGTTTCTGGAAAACAGCTACTCTAGCATAGGGGGGACTTGGGGAGTTTACTCTAGTATATGGTAGCAAAATTCAGCTGAACTAGCTCTGGTATAGGTTAAGGGTTCCAGGGTCCCAGCGGCACATCCCTACCCAGAAATTCCTTAAGTACCCCCCGGGACTTGTAAGTGCTACTTAAGTTTGTAATTTTACAGAGTTCATTAAGTAAAACTGTGGGGATGAGAAAAACGACACAAAATGGGGTCACGTTTGAATGGATTTTTGATATAACAAAAAGATTTTCGTAACCGAGAAAGGAATATTGGATCGATGGTAAGAATAAACTATTGGTAATTGTGAGATTTTTTTAATTAAAACAAGGCATGCGAGGCCGGGTCTAGTCTACGAACAGCAGACGCATTTCCGGTCGTCCCTTTTCTCCCTCCAAAACATAGCGGGGGGAGAGAAGCGACGACCGGAAATGCGTTTGCTGTTCGCAGGCTAGGCCGGGTCTAATTTGCTCTGCAATGTAAATATGACTAACGGATTGAAGAACTTTTTAAAAATTAAAATGATTATTATAAAGAAATACTCTTGCTATACTAGTTCAAAGGTTCAAAGGTCTGTTTTAGCAAAAATAAAATACTAAAATAGACCATACGGAAATTTATCTACAAAAATGGAAAATCAAATTTCACCGTTCTGAATTTCTCACAGAAACACTTCTGTGTTGATAATTCAATTTGATATGGCAATATTGTGACCATGACATCATCAAATGAGCACTCTGAGCAGATGTTGTACATAGTAGACATTCGAGTAGAACAGCTTTTTGTTTAATATGTCACAAAGTCCGACCGAAATCCTGCCCTGGCATCTGAGCATAATGACACCTGGAATAAAGATTATAATAGCTCTTATTAAAAATTTAGGAATAACATGAAGTCGTGAAGTAAACTATTTTAACAAAGTAAAACAAACTGAAAACCACACTTTCCGAAAAAAAGGTTGACTTGTGAAGAAAATACCCATCCGAGTTTCAGTAAATTATAGCCGGAAACTCACTCTGACTATAAAGACTATAAACCAAGATTTTTATTAACTTGATATTGCTTGATTCGCAATCGTTATCAGATTCATAGGTTTCATCCTACTTTGTTCTTTAAAACAAATTATAAGAATAAATTAGGCACGCTCACTACACTGAGGACGAAAAAATGAAGCAAAAAACATCTTTACAGATGCCAGTTTACCTTTTCTCAACCAGCTGATGTTTTAACATGAGCATGTCTTGACTTCAAGTAGTGTTTGTATCGACAAGTATTTCCTGTTTTCTTCTTTAGAAAGATTGTAATAATTGTGTTAATTGTACATGTCTAATTTATTCCAGACCTATTTTACTTTTTTCTTTCTTTCTCTTTTCTTTTTTAGACTTTTTGACAACGTTAGTGCAATTAGGTTTATGCTGGCACTGGTAAAATAGCACAACTGTTTTATTACAATCTTTCTAAAGGAGAAAACAGGAAAGACGTATCGATACAAACACTACTTGCAGTCAAGACATGCTCATACACCCTTCTTTGTATGTTAAACTACATGCGCCTCCTAAATCCACGATCCTTCATTAAATATACAGTCCCCCGAAGAAACTGACGAGAGCCAGCCTTTATTTAAGGTCAATCATAAAAAGAATTAATTAAACTTATACTTACTCCGAGACACCGTCGTTCATCATGTTGCACTAGGAGACGTCGACGAGCGAACCCTATTGGTCTTTCTTCTTCTGCATTGCTCCTTCTATCCTCTTCAAGTTCTCTCTGTCCTCTGTTTACTCTTTGTTGTTCTTCCCTTGTCGCGCTCTCTAAGAGGAAGGCTCTGTGCTCACGGTAGGTTGCTTTTAGAGCCAAGTACATTTTGAAAATACAGAGCAGTACGATCAGCATCACGATAAATGAGGCGACGCCATAAATATGCTCGAACATCATTGCTATGTTCCTGGCGGTCAGTGAAGCAATGTTTGTTGTGCTTGAGCGGTCAGATTTTAGCTTCTCGTCTCTGCCGTTTCTCTACCGTCACTGCATAGTCATAGTCTATATTCAACTAACACGTGAGCTTCATCTATAGACCCGCCACTCAAGCCAATCATAGAACTCGAACTATCCCGGAAAGCCCCTAAAGTTGGGGGCCCAGATTCCCTTTATCCATGTTTCTGGGGCACCCAACGTCAATCTTCGGAAAATATCTGTTCTTAAGACGATTTGAAATCTAGAAATTTTCGGAAAGTTTACACACGTATCCATAAAAGTGCCAAGAACATCACGCTTCACTACAGACAAAACCAATATATAGCAGACGACATTCAGATTAAATCAATATATCTATCTATCTAACTGCCATTAATTGCCTCCATCAAATTGATGATTCTTGCAAATACCAGACGACATACTGAAATAGCCATTGGTTCTGTGATATTATAGCCTAAAGACACAAATAAATGGCCGTGGATCAATATGAACATGATCTCGAGAGTCTTATTGGTATGGTAGAGAGGCCGGTCGTATCTAGGAATGATATTCTCATAAACGTCCTTGATTAAAATGATCGACTGCTTCAAAGAATGGAATATCACTGTTTCATTGAGAAAGCAGAGTAAGTAAACTTACCAATGTAGCTTGCATCGCAGACAGTCTAAATCCCCCGGACGGACGATATCGAGTTTGAGTTCTCTATCTGGGTCTCGAGTGACAAGTCCGGCTGCAATAAAGGCCTATACCAGCACCGCCGAACAGAACCAGTAGGAATCGCTGCTCACCGCCGCCGTACTAGGTTGCTATATGTTTCTGTTTCCGCCATCGTCCCCAGTCGAAAGGTGATGGTAAAGTAAGTTTCGCTTCTCTAAACTAAACTGGGCAAGTTTTTAAACCAATTCAAAACTTAACGGATCGATGGCTAATGTTGCCTAGGTGCGTGTTTTTTTTCCTGTTCTGCCAAACCAAAATTATGCCGTCACGTTCAGCTTATTTTTTTATTAATCGTTCATTTGCAAACCAAAGTGAGTTAACGGAACCATGCCGTGACTAAGACGTAAATAAGGTCCGGTTCAAAAGTCGCATTTCACAAGTGCGAATTTAATGCAAAGGAGCGAGAACAATTGATTTTCCTCATTTAATAGCATTAAATTCGGCACATGTGAAATGAGAAGTTTGAACTGGGCCTAAAATGAGTCTTTCCGCCAAGCCACCCTGTAGATTATTTATTTATTCAGTAATAGTTTGTCAGTTTTTATTGGTTACTCTGATCTAGTTTTGCTCACTAAATGTTTAAGGAAAATAAAGAGCATGGAGACTAGGGGGTTTAATACCACAATAGTAGCCTGCGTGTTTGCCCTCGTGTCGATTCAGAACCGCTTTGTTGCCCGGCTTTCTTGAGCTAAAAATTGTCAAGTGTAACATAATTTCAAATTAATGTAGTATATAATGTCACCAGTGTGTTGACCTTGCTGCACCTTATCTGGTACCGTAGTATTGAGTCCTGAAGTTCCTCAGGACTCAATTTTGGACCCTCTCTTCCTACTACAACAACCTCCCCTAAAAAATTGATTGAAATGGCCTGTTTGCTGACGAAAGGACAAAATACATGATAATTGATACTCGCTGAGAAGAATGTGCTCTTTCGCTGTGGTTGGCAGTTGGAACAAACTCTTAGATCGCATTAAAAAATCAGTCCTGCATGCTAGTTAAATATCACATAGTTTCATCAAATGCTAGTATTAAACCCATTCTTGAGTGACTGTGTGTCTTTATGGGGAAGTTGTAATGCAGGATTATTGAATGAGATTTTTGGAGTTCAAAAACGATGTGCGCATATAAGATTGCGCCTTTTCAGGCTAGAACCCTGCCGTTATACTTCTGGAACATGTCGGTAGCTACCCATCAGTCTCATCTGTATTGAAAAAAGGCTATTTCTGTTCCAAAAAATCCTGGATGGACGTGCACGGGGCGGTTACCTCTCTGAGAAACTTGTATGGCACAAGGTCTCGGTTGTCTTATCGCCTTTCTATTCCACGTAACAATAGCACTTGAATGCAGTTAAGCTGCGTAGTTTAGTCTGCTCTTCCGGTGTTAAGAATTAAGTTCAAAAGAAATTACTTTGATTTAATCATGTGCAAATTCACGCCTGAGAGCTTAAGAATACACAGAACTCATACTTCACAAGTCAGAACGCACGTTCAGTATGATCAGTAGTGTTGAGTCCTGTACATGTTGAACACGGCTCGTTTCTTAACGTAGCAAAAACAAAACAAGATAAACATTGAGAGATTGTCTAAGCTTTTTGTTTCAAAACTTTTCATTTGAATAGCCTGCAAAACCCTCTCGGACTTACTTGTTATTATTTGTTTTTATTCATACAGCTTCGTCTGGTCCATGAAAACGGTGAAGGAAATAAAATGGGTTGTTTGAGCTTGACCTAAACGTTAAACCTTGGCATGGTCACATGCAAACGTGACAACAGCTGCTGTTTCCTTATAAAGCTTGAAATGATCTCTGCTGATAAAGATAGGTGTCTTCGAGTGTGACGTATCGACAGGAATGGTTAATTAATTACAACCCGAAATACCGGCCCAAATAAGTCGTATTCCAGTTCTGCCAGCTTAAATATGGTTACAGGCAGGGATAGCAACGGTAAACAAAATTATGCCTTGAATGAAAGCGATTGATCAAGCTTTAATCCAGCTTTAATCCGGTATCGCAAGGTATAAATAAAGTGAGCATTTGTCATCTCCTACAAATTGTCTTTGATTTTAAAGTTCTGAAGCCGTAGCTTTTGAATCAAGATAAAGAGGACATTTGCCAAGGGTCTCGAAAATAGGAGAAAGGTCAGTGTTCAATTGTCATTGTGTCTTGTGGCAAAACTCCGTCTACAAGCATTTATTAACATACGTCTTGTCCAGACGATCAAATTTTAAAGGTAAAGGATATTTAAAGCAACCATATTTCACGTCCACAACCCGTGACAGTAATTCAACTGATAGACTTGAGGTCGACGGTGCCTTCACATGCTCATTCTTTCTCCCTCACTGCTCCGGTAAAAAGGAGTACAGTGTTCGACCGCGGCTGCCAGGCCGCTGTCATGGAATAATTAAGGTTAATGCTCTATAGATGCTGCACTTGATCGGCAAATGAATGGATCAAGTTAAGAGATCGACTTCTAGCCGGGAATTCGTTAGGTGTTTTTCGGTTAAGTGTCATTTAACCAGGAGAAATAACAACCCTAGTTTTACTTCCTCCTTAATCAAACTTGCTCTGTTTTCGACTAAAACGAGTCTTTACCAGAACAATTTAATGGCATGCAGTATTTCGATCGGGATAAATTTATCCGTAGTACCGCATGACCTACATGAAAATGAAGCTCATCGAAGGTTCAATTTGTATAGGTAATAGCATGATTTGTAGTGATATTTGGTATGAATACCACAAGTGATATTTCAAAATTGTTATACATAATTTCACGAGCCGTCAGGCGAGTGAAATTTGAGACAAATTTAAAATATCACGAGTGGTATTTTTGCCAAATATCACGTACAAATCATGCTATTATTTGTTTATACTACTACTCACAAAAGGTTTGTAATTTTCACATATAGGTATTTCAAATCAAGCTGAAATACTACTGCTCTAAGCCAATCAAATTGCAGTTATTTCTCATGCAGTAGTATAAATCTTGAATTAACTGATTGGATTACCCATATTAAAGCTCATAGTCTCCATTCGTCAATGCACACATATTTCTTGTGGAAAAG